CTCTTTATGAGATCAAAATGATTTTCAAGTAAAGGTGTATTTTAAAAAAAAAAAAACTTATTTCTTTGTGAGATCAATTTAATCTTCAGATCAAAGCAACCTCTTTATGAAGTCAAACACTTGGCTTAATCTCTTTGGGAGATCAAAATGATCTCTTAAAATTGATTTCTGCAGTCCCCAAATCAAATCCTTCTCTCTTTTCAAAGCTGAAATTGAGAACATATCAGCCTAAGACCAAGGAAGTCTCCAATTAGGTTCACTTAAAAAAATCAAAATGATTTTCAAACAAAAGAAAATCTCCTTAAATTGATTTCTGTAGTCAAATATTTTGATATAATCTCTTATGATATCAGTCTTTGATCTAAGAGAAGAGATCAGATTTTCTTATGATTGATTTCTGTCGTTGATTCTCTTATGATATCAGTCATTGATTTCTGTAGTCAAATATTTCTTCTTTTTCTAAGTTTGATCTCTTTTATGAGATCAGATGTGAAATTGATCCCTGTAATGAGCGAGGGGGTCATGTGTGAGAAGCCCTTAATCAAATGATCATCAGTACTAAAAGAAGCTTTAGTACTAAAAACAGAGTGAACATACCTGAGAGAGAGAGAGATTTTAATTAGCTAAGAGATTTTCACTTGATAAGGAAGCTCTGCTATATTTTGTAGCAGACATGTTGTTTCTGATGCAGTGGCTATACTGCGATGTTGGTTTTAGATAAACAGCAGATATGCTGTTTCAGCAGATAGGCTGATGCAGTGATTATACTGCAAATCTTGATTTTAATAAACAGCAGATACGCTGTTTCAACAAATATGCTGATGCAGTGATTATACTGCAAAACTGGTACACTGTTTCAGCAATATGCTGATGCAGTAATTATACCGCAAAACTGGATTTAAATAAACAGTAGATACACTGTTTCAGCAGGCATGCCGATGCAGTAATTACACTGCAAATCTTCTTTAAATAAACAGCAGATACGCTGTTTCAGCAAATATGCTGATGCAGTGATTATACTGCGAATCTTGGCTTTAATAAACAGCAGATATGCTGTTTCAGCAAACATGCTGATGCACTAATTATACTGCGAAATTGGCTTAAAAAAAAGAACAGCAGATATGCTGATGTGGTACTGCAAACTTGGCTTTAAATAAACAGTAGATACGCTGTTTCAGCAGACATGCTGATTCAGTGATTATACTGCAATAATCCATTGAAGAAACAAGTGAAGCTTTCTCTTGAAGCAATAAAAAAATATATATCAAACCTGGTTTGGGGTTTTTTTTCTCCCCAAGAGAAGAGAAAAATCTCTCTTTGTTCATCCACCACTTCAGAAAACAAAGAAAACTCTTTGTTTAATCACAGATTGTGAAGAGAAGACAAAAAGTCCCTTGTTGAAAGATTTCAGCAGCTCCTTGACTTGAAAACTGAAGGAGAGGTTTCCCTTTCTCTCATGAACCGTAGAGAGCTTGTGAAACAAAAAAAAAAAAAAATAGAGGCTGGAATGCCAGCCCATGCCTTTTATAGCCAAAATCAGTCTTAGTCCTAATATGATTAGGATTGTTCATTAGGGTTAGGGTTAATAACAAAGGCTGGGGCGTGCAGCCCACTTAACAGCTTTATAACAACTTATTTGTGGACCTATTTTAAGTTTAAATAAGAAATTTTAAAATAGCCCACTTACAGCTTTTAGTTGGACCCAAGTACACAGCCTTAGCCCATTTAGTGGCTTGACAGTAAGCCATACGTGGGCCTCATAACAACTCATGATACAGCAGCCCATTTAGGCCCATTAAGTTTAAGCCCAAGCCTCTTTAAATAAATTAAGAGGCTGGGACCACTTCTAAAAAGGGGTTAAATGCAAAGAAAGTTAAACCCAAGCCCTTTTAAATACATTAATAGGTTGGGACCACTTCTAAAAGGGGGTTAAATGCAAAGAAAGTTAAGCCCAAGCCTCCTTAAATAAATTAAGAGGCTGGGACCACTTCTAAAAGGGAGTTAAATAAAAAGAAAATGTAATCAAATAAAACCCTCTTAAACATATAAAAAGAAAATATAAGTCCAAAATCATAATAAGCCTTCAAATTTTGCCCCTTACAATATCTCCAATTCAATTCAAATTGACCATTAATACCCTTAAGGGCCCACCTGATGTTTAATTAAAATTATTCATCAACTAAAACAAAATAAAAAAAATAATAAAAAAAAGGGAGTAAATCACATCCATCTTTGGATGCTATAAAAAAAAAGAGACCTATTCAGAATCCTATTCAGATTAGGACTCTTCTGTTCCAAAAATGAAAAAAAAAACTAATTACATGATTATTTACAAAAAAAAAACCTACTAAAGCCAGGATTCCTCCACGAATCCTACTTAAATTAGGACTCTTATTTTATGAGCCTACAAAATGATTGTCTTGGTCAAAAACAACTCGGGATCAAGATTTAAGGGTGGATCAAAGATATATTGATAAAACCAAAGAGTCCTACTTCAACCAGGACTCTTCCAACTGTGAAAATCTGTGATTAACCCTCAAATACTCAAATCAAACCACACAATTAATAACATCAAGCATAACAAAATCGAAAGTCCTAGTTGCACTAGGATTTCTCAATTAAACAAGATGAGCAACTATAAAGCCTCATCAAATCAATCAAATAGTTAGATTATATCAGATTTTGTCTAATGAAAGATATTGCAAGAGTCCTGATCATACTATGACTCTTCCAATTTTGGCTCAATTCTTTTTCTAACGATAAAACTTTCATAAGTTTTGACTTTAACTGCTTTTTTGAGCCCTGTATGCCCCATATTCTAGGATTCTGGGCCTACAGTGCTCAAGGGGGCACTGTTAAAGTCATTTTTTTTTATTCAAATAATTTGCAATAAGTGGGCTAGCTAGTCTACTAGCCAAATCATTAAAATTATAAAAAAGTATCTTGTATGGGAGTCCCCCCTCTTAAGTGGGGAGTTCTCTCTCTTTAAGTGGGAGGGACAGGTGTCCTTCACCTAGGAAGAGGGGGTAGTTACATAACCACCCCACTCCCTATTTAAGCTCCTTAAGGGGAAGCTAGATACACACAGAGAGACTCTTTGGAGAAAATTTTCACAAGAGATTCTTAAGAAAAGAAAAGATAAGGAGAGAAGAAAAGAGAAGTGCTCAAGGGAAGGCAAGGAAGGAAAAATCTCACTAATACAAGTAGAGAAAAGGAAAGTCCTCTCTGTGAATACTTCCTATTTATGCCTTCTGCTATGCATCCTTCTTTCTCTCCCTTTTGTTATTACTTATGAGAAAGGAAAAAGAGGGAAATAAACCATCTACAACCAGGTGCCTTTACTTGGTTGATTATGGTCCCTCTTTCAAGACAAAGTTAGGGATTAAACCATCTACAGTCTAATTCTCGAAGACTCATTATGGTTCCCTTCAAATGAAAATTTAGAGTAAGGGGGAATGAACCATCTACAACCAGGTGCCTCTACTTGGTTGATTATGGTCCCTCTTTCAGGACAAAGTTAGGGAGTAAACCATCTACAGTCTAAATCTCAAAGGCTGATTATGGTTCCCTTCAAATGAAAGTGAAAAATGGAGGGATGAAAATCGTTTACAATCAAATATTCAATTTGGTTGACTACGGTTCCCTTTTTGTATTTAAAATTCCAAGGAGTAAGGCTGTCTACAATCAGAATTTCATCTGATTGACAACAACTTATTATGAAGAAAGGAATGAGAAGGAAATTTTCTTTGTATTAAAGAAAAGAGAAATGTATTGCTGTATAGTTTCTCAATTGTATTTTCTTCTTCTTTCTTCTCATTCTTGTACACCTGATGTAAAAGAAAAGCAAATGAAAAGTTCTTTTTTAAGTATCCTATTGTTCTTTTCTTTTGTTCTATGCGTTCATTTCTCCAAGTCAGAATCAAAAGGTGTTCTCTACTTTCTTGTGGGGACGTAATTAAGGGGAACAATCCATATGATTCCCTGAATGGGCCTTACTCCAAAATAATAAAAACTCAATCACTTGATTGAGTGAATTATGTTGCATGAGAATTTATTAAAATTTTCACACCAAGGGGTAATCCTAAATATCTCAAGGGCCACTCTCTCCCCTCACAACCTAAAGATTCTGCCATAGCCCTCATATCATCTCCTTCTACATTGATTCCAGCTATTAAACTTTTAGACCAGTTAATCCTCTTCTTCTTTTCTTCTTTTCCTACTACAAAATCACGGGATTTCCCCCTATATTTTCTGAATTTTATTATTTTTTTCTTCTTTTTTTCTCATGGATATGTTGATTTTCTATACTTCAATATGAAGTTTAATACTTTTTAATGAAAATCATAGATAACTATTAAGGATAGATGGTCGCTAGTTGCCATGCAACCTAGGAAACTACCCTAGGGTTCATGGTTTTTATTTAAAAAAATCATTACCTAGGTGATTAGGTGACAAGGTGCCCCCTGTTGCATAGCCTTGCCTTGGCGCCTTGAATACTATGACACTGTATTGCCAGTAGGAATTAGGACTGGAAACCTTGTTGGTCTCAGCTTCTAGGGTGTGGAGATAACCTACAAGTCTAATAGCTTCTGACAAGGTGCTCTCTGTTTTCACGGTATAGCATAATCAAACAGATTGTTCTTTCTCTATTCTTAGTAGCTGCATCTTGGACTCAGGTAATAAATCATGTATGCTGGACCTTATTATCCAGCTTGATGAAATAATTTCCTACTGCTTGAATAGTGATTCCTAATGTTTCAAAATAAAAATATCATACATATGCAAAGTGGCAGTGGCAGAGATGTTGGCAATAATTATGTTTGAGGGCCTTAAACCCTTAATTATGAAAATGCACTGGTCCCACCATTGTCCTTGTGCTTGCCTTTTTTTTTTTAATTATGTACTGTGATTTATGAGAATTTGTATCATAATGTTTACTTGTCGAGAGGTGGTGGAAATTGGCAATAACCCATTCACTAATGCAACTTTTGTAACTGCAGATTGAAGCTTTGGCTTTTCCTAGCATATGTTGTATCGTTTGTGTCTCTAGCAGCATCTGTGGGCCTACTTGTACAGGATGCACTTGTGAAAACTGGTCCTTCGACATGGACAGGCACTGCTGGTGTCTTGCAGTGTGTATTGGTATTAATCAGGTATATTTATTTTCATGATTCCTTTATAATCACGTGTTAACACACTTAATATTGGTGTGCATGCATGAATGTTCTCTAAATGGGTCAGTTAAGTCTCTCGTAATGCATAAGCCAATGTGGAATTGGGGATTTCTTCTTTTTTATGTACAGATAATAGGTTTGTTGCTGTAGTTTTTTAGAAGCTTTTTTTAGTCATTAGTAGTTTCCTAATTGCATTAGGAGTTGGTTTTCCTAATTGGATTGGGAGATTGTTTTCTAATTGGATTTTAAGTTACTTTAGTAAATTGCAATTGAAGGTTTCTGTTTAAGGTAGCAATAGGGAATTGAAAAAGGTGGAAAGAGAATTTTTTATCAATGTCGGAGGTAGGTGATCAGATGGTGTGGATTAGTTAGGGATGGAAGGTTGTGGAGATGACTTTGGTGTGAATAAGGCTTCATTGACCAGTTTGTGCAGTTCCCTTGTAAGGATGTATAAGTGGATAGTTTAGAAGATGTTTTCAGGTTTTCTTTTGGTTTTTGTTCATTATGTAATTGGGGGCTAAAGATTGCTTTGAAAGTTGGGGTGCTCATGGTGTTATCTTCTAACCATTTAGCATCTTTTTTTTTTTTTTTATCAAAAGTTTCTTTTTACTTTCAAACAAAAAGTTAAGTCAGATTCACATTCATCTAGTAGGATTTGTCTTATTCCTTGTCCCAAGTCAACCTGAATTTTAGCCAAAGTCCTAGTGCTTATCCAATTAGGATTTGTCCTATGCATCTGTTAGTTGATTTTGAAGTAGGAAAGCAAGGGAAAAGGGCTACCTTACCCTCCTCTCTTTGCCTATATTCTTAGGGCCTTTTCTTTTTCCTATAGAAGTTAATATTAGGTTAAGCAGAATATTAGGGTGGTTGTTTTTAGGAGAAGAGTTTATGAGAAAAATGTTCTGGGAATTGGAGGAAAGATATCCTTTGAATGAAGAAAGCTCTTTTGGGGATACTTGAATGATAGAGTTTTGTTAGGATCATTTGAATTGGGTGTTTTTTTTGTGGGGGGGGGGGGGATGTTTTGGACTTTTGAAGTTTGTTTTGGGTCTTGTCTGTTTTGTTTGTTGTTTGTAAGGGTTGGGGAGGTAAAGTTTTCATTAAAGAGGGGGTGGAGGGTTCTAGTGGTGTGGGTTTTGGGTTTTGATCTGTGGCTGATCAACCCCATCCTAGAGCTTTTCCAACCTGATTATTGGACCCACTATCAACCCCCCTCAAATCTGTTTTAGGCTTGTAAAGTGGGATTTTCTAAGCATCCATTATCAAATGAAACGGATGTGGCTTATCTATACCATCCACTAGATGAGGTTCATTTGGGTTTATATGTGCTTACTTCCCAAGTGGATAACAGCTCCATACAATCCCTGAACTTTTGTGATTAAGTATCCTTTCAAAAAAAAAAAAAAAAAAAACTATTGGAACATTTCCCAAGAGATGAAGATCTATTTAGCTTTCCTTTTTATTCTTTTTGATTTAATTCAATACTTATAGACCACAAACTGTTTTTTTTTTTGTAAAAGGTAAGGTATTTTATTAAATCAAATAACAGTACAAAGGAGCCTAGGCCAGTAAAGGCTCCCTAGAGCCACCTCAGATTACAAATGCATCCAAGTCTGAGAACTAAACAACAATCTCAAATTCTGATTTTTAAATTCCTCCGTTGCCGACACCCAAGACAGTAGTTTACCCACAGCTTTCTGCACCATTTCCTCTGGAGATTTAGCTTTGCCCTGAAAAATTCTGTTATTTCTTTCAATCCAGATAGTCCAAAGCACTGCAGCCGGAATAGTTTTCCAAACCAAGGTTCCTTTCTTTCAATCCAGATAGTCCAGAGCAGAAACTTCACTTTAGAAGGACTAATTGAGTTCCAACCCTGCCTAGCCGGAAAGTTCCCCTGACCTGAACTTATCAACTTACTGAACATAGACTTTACAGTGAACCTGCCATCAGCCTCCCATTTCCATCTCCAAGCATCCTCCTTGTTCAAGTCACTCTGGTTATGAAGCAGGCCCAACAGATTTGCATACTCTTCAACTTTCCAATCAAAGAGGCACCTCTTACAAATTAGATTCCAACTGAAAGAGTTACCAGAGGCATTGAAATTCTCAGCCACCGAGGAATCCTGATTTACAGAAATTTGATAGAAGAGAGGAAAGGCATCTTCCAGACACACTTCAGAACACCAAGAATCTTTCCAAAATTTAATTCTTTCCCCATTTCCCAATTTATATCCGATTCCTTCTTCAAATAAAATAGAGTTCTTCAAAATACCTGTTCAAATGGAACTTATCCCTCTTGAAATAGGAGATTTGGATCTCCAATCACCCCAATCCACTCCATATTTGTCCCCGATCAGCTTTCTCCACCATGCATTTCTTTCATTTGCAAATCTCCGGGACCATTTACACAGGAGGGCAGAGTTGAACTTATTCAATTTTCTTATTCCCAACCCACCAACTTCCTTAGGAAGACACACTTGGTCCCAATTTACAACATGAACCTTCTTCTCCTCCTCCCAACCTCTCCAAAGAAAGTTTTTCTGTATTTGCTCCAATCTATTTGCTACTTTGGAAGAAATAGGGAAGAGGGAGAGGAAATAAGTAGGCAGGTTAGAAAGAGTGCACTTAATCAGTGTAACTCTCCCCCCGAAAGAAAGATATTTAGCTTTCCAAGATGCCAATTTCTTCTCCATTCTTTCAACCACTGGAATCCAAATCTCAGAGGAAGTACATTTAGCTCCAAGAGGAAGCCCCAAGTATTTGACCGGAAGATGGGCAGTCTGACAAGCCTTAACTTCTGCACAATCCTCTAGATTTGTAACATGACCTATAGGGATGATCTGAGATTTACTCAAGTTTACCTTGAGGCCAGGCACCACCTCAAACCAACTCAAAATTCCAAGCACCACCTCCAGCTGACTTGGTGAAGCATCAACAAAACAAAGTGTCGTTAGCAAATTGAAGAATATGAACTTTTTCCTTGCCCGGTGCAATTGCAAAGCGATCCCAAAGCCCATTCTCAGCAGCCTTCTTGCTAAAAAGAGTTAGAATTTCCATGACACAAATGAAAAGTAGGGGGAGAGAGGGTCACCTTGCCTCAAACCTCTAGTGCTTCCAAAAAACCCCGTTGATTGTCCATTAACTAAGATGGAGAACTTAGGAGTCTTAACACAAACTCTGATCCAGTTTCTCCAAAGCTGCACAAAATTCATTTTCTCCAACACCAGGTCCAAACAGTGCCAGTTAACATGATCATAAGCTTTTCCAATATCAAGTTTACACATAACACCTGGGTTCCCCTCTCTTCTTCTGGATTCCAGCAATTCATTAGCAATGAGAATTGAGTCAACCATCTGTCTACCCGGGACAAAAGCACTTTGATTGCAAGAAATAACACTGCCTAACACACACTTCATTCTTTCTGCCAAAACTTTAGCCAAGATTTTGTAAAAACTGTGCAAGAAACTAATGGGCCTAAAGTCCTTTATATTGACAGCCCCCTCAATTTTTGGAATGAGAGTGATGAAAGTTGCATTCAAGCTTCTTTGAAATGAGGCATTAGTATGAAATGCCTGGAACACCTGCATCATATAGACCACAAATTGTTAATTTGGATTTGTTGCATTAGCCGTTGAGCTGAAATGTCCATGAATTGGAAGTGATCAAGGGAATATGTGAATCCTTGTGACTTTAGAACAATATACGGACGTTTCATGTCATGCCCTTCAGGAGATGGAGAAAGCAATTGCTAGAAGTGAGGAATGCTAGAATCGGAGGAGTTGTAATGGCTTGCTTCAATACTTGATGGTGGTCAAGATGAGAAAGGTGGCTGTGAAACCGAAGAAGATGTTTGCAGTTGATTTAGGCTGCTGGAAAGAAGCTTGGTGGGTCGTTTCATTAACTCTAACCCAGATGTGGAAATTGTGGGAGATTGGGATGTTGCTGAATGGCATCCAAAGAAACCTTTCTAGGTTAGGAAGTTGAGTGCTGGCTTCTTCCTTTTTACCTCAACAGCGAGGGGGAGGCAATCGACATCTTAAGGAGAGAACAAAACCAGATTCAATCTCCAGACCTTAGGATTGGAAGATGGAATCCTCGTATAGGAGCAATCCGAGATTTTGGGCCTTCAAGCTTGGTGTGGATTAACACATTTGGAATTCCTTTACATGCCTGGTGTTTTCTAACTTTTGTAGTGGGAAATGCGTGCGGAAGAGTTTACAGTTGGGGCGGGTAAACAATCTGGAGTTGTGGAAGAATGATCTAAGTAAGAGTTTACAGTGATATTGATAAGGGCGTGAGACAAACAGATGGACTGAAGGGGGAGCGATGGAGGTTGAAGATGAGGGTATTTTGGGAATTGTAAAAAGAGTAGTTTGCATGGGGCAGGTTCGCTGGGTCTTAATGAATGTGGAGGCTGCAAGTTTTCAAGAATAAATGAAAGATGTGGGGCCCATCCGAAGTTGAATAAAGAAGATAATAAGATGGGCTTTGAACAGATAGGCTGAAGGGGGAGGGATGGAGGTTGAATATGAGGGTGTTTTGGGAATTGTAAAAAAAGAGTAGATTGCTTGGGGCAGCTTTGGCAGGTCTTAATGAATGTGGATGCTGCAAGTTTCCAAGAATAAATGATGATGTAGGGCCCATCTGAAGTTGAATAAAGAAGACGATAAGGCAAGCTCTTTTTTTTTTCACGGAACAAAGGTGGTGGTGGGGAGATTGTAGTTAAGGGGTAGTGGAGGGCCATAAGGAAGTAAGGGTGGGTTTGATAAGGAAGTGGAAAACATTTTGAACTTGGAAGTTGAAGAAGTGGCTCGAGATGGGAGACATGATGAAGGATTGACTGGGCCTCACTCTTTGAAAATAAAGTTTAAAGATGGGCATAAGTCTTAACACTCAACAAATTTAAAGGTTGATAAAATGAAATGCCCAAAGACTAAGAAGCTTGGGGTTTTGATCAAAAGGTTCTAGCATGAGGAATGA